AACTTGTGCACCAGCTGCACCCATTCCTTGAGACGTCAGATCTGGCTATGGTGACACATGCTTTGGTTACATCCTATGTGAACTATTGGAACATGCTCTGTGTGGGGCTGCCTTTGGAAACTGTTCAGAAACTTCAGTGGGTCCAAAATGCCACAGCTAGAAAACTGAGTGGAGCCAGTTATAGAGAGTGTATAACTCCTGTATTGAAACAGCTTTACTGGCTACCAGTTTGTTTCCAAGCACAATTCAAAGCACTGGTCATGACCTATAAAGTCCTACACAGCTTAGGTTCAGACTACTTGAGAGACCATATCTCCCCATACGAACCACCTAGAGCCCTAAGATCTTCAGGAGAAGGCTTTCTCTCAGTCCCACCACCATCCCACTCTTGTTTGGTGAGGACATGAGAGACAGCCTTCTCAATGGCTGCTCTCAACCTGTGGAACTCACTTCCATGGGAGGCTAGGCCTTCACTTCTGGCCTTTTACCAGCAGGTGAAGACATTGGGGGGTTGCAGACTACAAGAAATAGTGCAAATTGAGTCCACTTTTAGGGTTAGGGTTAGTGCTAGGGAATCATGGGAATTGTATTTTTTTCTAAGACATTGAGCCTTCTCTGTCAGAGAGCTCTGGTGCCACAATAAAATACAGTTCCCATGATTCCCTAGCACTAACCCTAACCATAAAAGTGGACTCAATTTGCACTATTTCTGGTAGTCTGCAACCCCCCATTGTTATTTAAACAAGCCTTTTAAAATCCTGCAGGCTTGGCTTCATTGGGGGATGGGGGGTAGTTTTAGATTATTATTATTTTTAATTCTGTTTTAAATTTTATTTGTAATTTTTATATGTTTTACGGCTTTAATTGTACTATTTTAATTGTTGTTTTAATGTGTTTTATATATGTTGTTAGTCACCTTGGATCTCATTTTGGGAGAAAGGCGGGATAAAAATAAAATAAACTGCATTAATTCTGCAGTGTAGATGCAGCCTTCATTAAAATCAAATCCACAACAAAATAAAGCAAAGAAATCAACAAATAATATAATAGCAGCATTTTTTGAAAAAAAATGCAGTACTCAACATGTCTGGACAAATAAAATTGTTATTTTCTGGCACCTAAGGATAGCACTGTTGGCACCACATGACTTGTTTGGCAAGAACCAAAATATAATCCTCTAGTAGGAATGCAAAAGACAGGAGTAACTCACCACACTGTATAAATATTAACAGTTTGATAGCACCTTAACTATCATATGAAAGGCCTAACAATGATCCTCCTCCTCCTACACACACACACACACACACACACACACACACGATCAAGTGGGAGACATTGACCACTAACTGAAGTGGATAGGAATAGGCTGGAATCGTATTCATGTCCTACACTGTGTAAGTTCTCTGAATTTATACTTTCTGGACCACTCAGCAACAGACTTATTCAGTTCATAGATGTGTGATGGCGATATAAACATGAATTGAATACATTTATTGCAAAATGGTCTGAAAAGTAGTCTAATGGGGGGATGCAGATGGGCAGCCATGCGCCGCCCTGAGAAATGGAGGATTGGGGCCGAAGCTGCCCCATGCCTCGGCTCCAATCCACCCTTTCAGCGACTGGGAAAGGAGTGTCAAAATAGTGCTCCTTTCCCAAGCCGTGGAAATGGTGCCGCAAGAGCCACCAGGTGACGTGGCTCTTTTGCGCCTCTTCTGGTGCAGTGAGTAAAAATGCTGTGCCGGGAGGACGTCATCTGAGCGCTCGTTGTGTGCAACAGCTCACATTCTGATGACGTCCTCGAGAAGGGGTTGGAGCATCTAGCATCCAGCTGCTCCTCCCCTTCCCTGGCTCCAAGACGGTGCTTTGCACCATCCTCAGAGCCCCTCAGTCTAATAGTCTAATCACTTGGATTGCTCTGTGCTGACATAGCATCCAACAACTGATTCAGTAGGTCCGCACTAGTTGGGCCTACTCTGGTTGACCTTGCCAGAAGGACTGCATCCATGCAGTTGAGCATTCCTTGATGGTGCCAAACTATTCATCAGTGCCTTCAGTGTACCATTTAATTCACCAAGACTGCAGAAAGAACCACCATGCTTTCCCCATCATGCAATGGAACAAGTAGTAGGCACATTGGCAGATACACAGTCAATTGTACAAAGTTGTATTCAGCAGAAAGATGTTACAGCATCACCAATATGTAACTATACCTGCACAAGCTAGTGTGGCATAGTGGTTAGAGTGCTGGGTTATGATGCTGGAGACCAGGGTTCGATTACCCGCTTGGGCATGAAACTCACTGGGTGACCTTGGCCAAGCCATAAACTCTCAGACTCTGGGGAAGGCAATGGCAAACCTCGTCCGAACAAATTTTGTCAAGAAAACACAATGATAGGGTCACCTTAGGGTCGGCATAAGTCCGAAACAACTTTAAGGCACACAACAACAACAACAAAGGGCACATTGCAGAATTAATGCAGTTTGACATCACTTTAATTGCCATGGCTTGATGCTATGGAATTCTGGGATTTGTAGTTTTGTGAGAGGTTTGGCCTTCTCTATCTGAGAGCTCTGGTACCAGAACACACTACAAATCCCAGGATTCCTTAAGTTGGAGCCACAGCAGTTAAAGCAGTGTCAAAGTGCATTAATCCTGCTGTGTGGCAGCAGCCAGAATGAGGGTAGATTTACAGTACCCAAACAAAATGTTGAATCTCAACCACCTGTCTTCAAGAGTATTAATGATGCATGTTATCCAGAATGTTATTGAAAAGCTTCACTCTTCAGCATATCACAACTCTTCATTTTTGAAAAGAGTACCTAAATGCCATAACAATTTGTATATGCAAAGAAAGATATTGCTGAAGAGCTGGATGTGGAAGTGCTCCATCGCTATCCACAAAATTGACATTTACATTCTCATTATATGCATTTCTGACTCTATGTTTAATCCACATTATACCTGTAAGCACTCAGGTGGTTATAAGAAGACAAGATACAATGTCAATTTGAAACTTAATGTAAGGTTCTTTATTACAAAAAAAAATGCAGAATGCTAATAAATGACATTTGAAAAGGGGATCACGTTTAACCTTTAACAGCATTCAAATGGATGCTGTTTTTAATGGGCTATTTGGAATTTGATTCTCACCTTGTCCTAAAGTTACAATTAAAGCATGATTTTACCATTTCAAACTCTGAAGTCAGCCTATAAAGAAAGGAAGGGACATGGCAAAAGTATGGTCAAAACAACTTAAAACATTATTTGCAACCCATTTATGCTGGGCAGGTATAAGCACGCTTGATTATATATTTTCAGCATAAACATTTAAAAAAGACACACAATTTCTCATCAACGCTTTTCAGCATAAACAGAACTCCTAGCCCAGCCCACACAACACTCACTCACTTAACAAGATACCAATAAATCATTCTGTCAGGTGCAATCCCCATTTCCTCTGATGCCATCATGTGAATTTTTGAAAATGTACTCAGTGGCAATGCAACCCTAGCCTCCCAATAAACTCCCTTTCACTTCCAATACGTAGAGAATCTACTGAAAAGAAATAGTGAAATAAGTCAGTAACAAATAAACCTACTTCAGATTGGTGGTAGGCAGAAAACAATCATGTGTGTTTGTACGTGTGTGTGTGTAAATAATTATGTAACATGAAATAACTGTAAAGATATTAGACTGTTTACTCCACCACTATCAAATCCATTGCCAGCACATACTCTGTTATTTCTATTCTTTCTATTTTCACTACACATCTCTGGATTTTATCCAGAAACTAATACAGAAGGGCAAAGAACAGCACAGTGACAAGATAAGATGCCCTGCTTCCAGACCAGGAAGACACACACACAACAGTTAACCAATGACAATGAAGTTAAGTTTACATGAAGAGCACCATTATAAAAGTGTCAGGGAAAAGATTGTTCATATTCAACCCACTAAGCTGTTAGGAAGATAAACGGCCTTATCTATGCTCCTCCAAGCTTTGGAGGCTGGATGGGATCCAAGCCTGGGTCAGTCACTATTTTGGACTGCAATCTACCAGAATCCTTCATCCAGCATGGCTATCTAACTAGGGGATTCTGCGAAATGCAATCCTGAAAAACTAAACTTCCCAAGACCCAAGATTTTTGCCTATCAGACCTAGAGCCGTTTCATATTCCTATTACAAGAAAGTTTTTACTGCAGTTTTTACACCATTTTTGAAGACTATTTGCAGTTCAGTATCTGCAGATGGCCTCATCCCATTATTGTCAATGGCAGCACATGCACACAACCATGCCAACATGGTCATGCGCACATTGCACATTCATTGACAATAATGGGACTTGAAATCCCACATCTTTAGTCTCTGCGGCAGCAGTCGGGAACAGGACCTCTGCCAATACAGGTACATACTATGCTAATAGCGGTAAAATTCATAGATATAGGCATGTTAGTTTATAAAATCAGTATGTAGAGATACTGTGTAGCACCTTTTGAGACTAATGGAATGAAAGAAGTTGGCAGCATGAGCTTTTGTAGACTTAAGTCTACTTCCTCAGACGTATTTGGTGAGGTGGAAAACCAGAGACAGACCTATATATGCCATCAGTGTGTGAGAATATCAATTCAAATGCAAAATGCTTTGTGTTCTATGTTTCCCACACTCATCTATTCTCCTCACCTACAGGTTAGTTTCCACTGCCTTTGTTCACCAAGACCATGTTAAAACTGGCCTTGCCACTTCATTTCCATACACAAAGGATTTTGAATTTGAATTGACATTCTCACACAACGATGGCATATATAGGTTTGTCCCTGGCTTTTCACTCCACCAAATGCATCTGAAGATCCAGAAACGAATACAGAAGAGAAAGTCTGAGGAAGTAGACTTAAGTCTATGAAAGCTCCTGCTGCCAACGTCTTTCTTTCAGTTAGTCTCAAAGGTGCTACAAGATCTCTCTATATGCTACTAGTGTATTCCAAAATACAATAAAATCCAATAAAATAAAATAAAAAATCCCAACTCAAAAATGCTTCTGGTCTCGACCATTTCAGATAAGGATACTCAGCTTGTAATACCACGGGACCTTGATACCTGAAGGAAAACCTCTCCCTATATATGCCTTCCTGAGGATTGAGATCTGCAAGAGGAGTCCTTCTTTGTATCCGACCAGTAGGACAACACACAGTGTGGGATTTGGGAAAGGGTCTTCTCTGTTATGACATCCCAATTGTGATATAATGCCCTCTTAAGAGCCCAACTGGCACCATTTCTGGCTTTCCTTTAGTCCCAGGTTAAAAATTGGCTTTTTATGAAAACCTCTGCAGTGCAATTATTGTCCATGAAGAGGCTTAAAACTGTTCCACCTTGTCTTAATGTATGAGGTTAATATGTTTTAACTCACAAATGCTATTTTATGATTTTACATTTTAAAAGGTTTCAAATGGTTTAAATTGTATTTACATTTTAATTTACTTTAAATATTCTATTGTATCCTGCCCAGAGGTCTATGGATACAGGGCAGGATATAGTTTGGATAAATTTTGTTATTTCTACCCTGTCCCATAATATTAATTTTCATTCCACCTCTAATCCAATGAGATCAAAGTAGTGTATGAAGCCTGTCCCCCCACCCCTTTAATCCTCTTGACAACCCTGTCAGGTAAGGCCTTTGACAAGGTCCCCCATGATAATCATGAAAACAAGCTAGCAAAATGTGGGCTAGACAATGCTATTGTTAGGTGGATTTATAATTGGTTGGACGGCCAAACTCAAAGGATACTCAGCAATGGCTCCTCTCCATCTTGGAGAGAAGTGACTAGTGGGGTGCGACAGGGTTCTGTCCTGCACCCTTTGCTATTCAGCATCTTTATTAATTACTTAGATGAAGGAATATAGGGCATGCTTATCAAAATTAGGGCATAATTTGAATATAGAATATAGAGCATGCTGTCAGTAATGGACTGGATGAGGGCAAACAAATTGAAGCTTAATCCAGACAAGACAGAGATGCTCCTGGTCAGTTGTAAGGCAGATCAGGGAATTGGGATTCAGCCTGTGCTGGATGGGGTTACACTCTCACTGAAATCTCAGGCTCAAAGCTTGGATGTGCTCCTGGACTCAACTCCGAACATGGATGCCTAGGTTTCAGCAGTGGCCAGGAGTGCATTTGTATAGGTCAAACTAGTGCACCAGCTGTGGCCGTTCCTTGAGATGTCAGATCTGGCTATGGTGACACATGCCTTGATTACATCCCATTTGGACTACGGCAACACACTCTATGGACCTTATCACACGGGGCCCAAACCAGACAGAATCCAAATGAAATCCCGACCTAATACGTATTATTTTTCCGTGTTTTCACACAACGTTGCACAGAACCCCGACAGAATGTGGAAAGAACCGAGATCTTTTGAATTTCGGTTTCTTCAGGAATTGCAATTGCGCAACAGGAATCATTTCGCATTTACCGTAGGTCTGATAACCAAATATGTATTGTGGTGCATTTCCCCACTGTTGCCATGGTTCCAGCGAGCATTCCTCTCTCTGCACAGGTGCAGAAGGCTCATTTCGGCTACATTTACGGGTTTTTTTCTCTTGTGTGTGAACACTCAATACACTTACTGTAAAAGCGCAATGAAGGTAATGACATTTGCGGAAACAAGGGTTATTTCCCATTTATTTTTGGGATGCCTCATTTCCACTTTATTTTCAGTTTTCTGGGCCACGTGTGATAAGGTCCTATGTGGTGTTGCCTTTGGAAACTGTCTGGAAACTACAGCAGGTTCAAAACACTGCAGCCAGAATGCTGACCAGGGCCAGTTACAGGGAGCATATAACTCCTGTACTGAACCAGCTTCACTGACTACCTGTTCATTTCTAGGCACAATTCAAATAATCATCATCATCATCATCATCATCTTTTATTTGTATCCCGCCCCTCTGTCAAACAATTGCAGCAGTTAAAATTCCATACAATATTTTAAAATACAACTCCAGAAATCTCAAAACCCTCCCACTCCTTAAAAAGAAATTAAACCAATATCAACATTAAAACCTATTAAAGTTTTGGTGCTGGTCATGATCTATAAAGCCCTACACGGCTTGGGTCCAGACTATTTGAGAGACTGTATCTTCCCATACGAACCCGTGAGAGCCCTAAGATCTTCAGAAGAAGGCTTTTCTTGGTCCCACCAAGATCCCAGGCTTGGCACAAGAGAAAGCCTTCTCAGTGGCTGCTCCCACCTTCGGGGATGCCCTTCTGCAAGAAGCAACGCTGGCACCCTCATTGCTGACCTTTTGCTGGCAAGTAGAAACATTTTTATGCAGGCAGGCATTTGATATACAAGGCACAGTAGGGAAGTTTTTATGGAGCACTTGGGTTTTTAGTTTGTTTTCAACTTTTGTATATTTTATGTGATTTTATACTGGATGTAGATGTTTTTAATTGTTTTGAATTTTATTGGGATTTTAAATGTTTTATCTGCGGTCTGCCTTGGGTCCCTCCATGGAGAAAGGCAGCATACAAATGAAATAAATAAATGAATAAAAATGAATAAATTTGCAGATGACACCAAATTAGGAGGAGTACCTAATATCCCAGAGTACAGGATCAAAATTTGAAATGACCTTAATAGATTAGAAAGTTGGGCCAACACTAACAAAATGAATTTCAACATAGAGAAATGTAAGGTACTGTACTTAGGTAGAAAAAAATAAAATACATAGATATAGGATGGGGTGACACCTAGCTTAACAAAACTACATGTCCTAGTAGACCAAAGTTGAACATGAATCAACATTGTGATGTGGCAGCTAAAAAGGCCAATGCAATTCTAGGCTGCATCGATAGAATTATAGTGTCTAGATCAAGGGAAGTAATAGTGCCACTGTAATCTGCTTTGGTCAGGCCTCACCTGGAATTCTGTGTCCAGTTCTGGGCACCCCAATTCAAAAAGGATGTTGACAAGCTGGAGTATGACCAAAGGAGGGCACCTAAAATGGTGAAAGGTCTGGAAATCAAGAGAAGGTTAAGAGGTGATATGATAGCCCTGTTTAAATATTTGAAGGGGTGTCATATTGAAGATGGAGCAAGCTTGTTTTCTGCTGCTCTAGAGACTAGAACATGGAACAATGAATGCAAGCTACAGGAAAGAGATTCTACCTCAGCATTAGGAAGAATTTCCTGAGAGTAAGAGCTTTTCAACAGTGGAACACACTTCCCCAGAGTGTGGCAGAGTCTCCTCCTTTGGAGGTCTTTAAACAGGGGCTGGATGGAGGTGCTTTGAGTGTGTATTCCTGCATGGCAGGGGGTTGAGACTGGATGGTCTTTGTGGTCTCTTCCAACTCTATGATTCTATGTTCAATTAGTCAGTTCCATGGTTTAGCAGGAGCAGAACCAAAATCTCCCAATTCCAGCGTAATGCACTGACTACTAAAACTACACTGCTTCTCTTGGGTCATTTTTAGGGGCAGCGGGAGGGGGGGAGAGATATGGGCATCTACATAAATAGCTGAAGAATGATGCCACAAGATGAGAAAAAATGTCGACCCAGTCTGTTGTTGTTAACTACCTTCGAGTCGACCCTGACTCATGGTGACACCATGGATGAGGTATTTCCAAGACCCCTTGTCTTTCACTGTTCTGCTTAGGTCCTGTAGATTCAGGCTCATGGCCTCCCTGATTTGAGTCCATCCATCTGGCATACAGTTCTCCTCTCTTTCTACTTTCCTCCACCTTTCCCAGCATTACTTTCTTTTCTAATGAATGGTGCCTTCTCAGGATGTGGCCAAAGTACAACATTTGATCATCTTGGCTTTCAGGGAAACTTTAGGCTTGATCTGCCCAAGGACCCATGTAAAGCAAAGCAGCTTCATTTATATATCACTTCATATCACACTATGGGATGTCTAAGTGGTTTACAAGTGTAAGCTCATGTTTTTGTCTTTTTTGGCTGTCCACAGTATCATCAACACTCTTTTCCAGCACCACATCTCAAATGAGTTGATTTTCTTCCTATCCATCTTCTTCACTGTTCAGGTCTCAGATCCGTACATAGTGATGGGGAATACAATGGATGACTCTAACTTTAGTGCTCAGTTGTATATCTTTACACTTCAGGATCTCATCCAATTCATTCACAGCTGCCCTTCCCATTCCTAGTTTTCTTATTTCTTGGCTGCAGTCTTCATTTTGAACATTGATCCAAAGTATGGAAAATCTTTAACTACCTCACTGTCTAGGTTGAATTTATGCAGATCCTCCAATGTCATTATACTGGGAGAATACCCAGTATTCTCCCATAATTACACATTATTGCAATCTTGTAAGGAGGTTGTGTCAGGTCATACCGATGGCAGCCAAGATAATGTAAGCTGAATCACTAGAAGGCATTTGGGCCGAAGACAAGAAGAAAGCGTGTCAAGACAGACACTAGCAAAACTGCACTTCAGAGTTATTACTGTTAGTAAACAAAACAGCAAATAATGATACATTATAACTCCTGTGCTGATGGGTTGTTATAAGCACACCCCACATTTCCTCCAAAAAGTTCAAAGCAATAGCAGTTTCATTTATATACCACTTCATACTACATCACACTATCTTCTTTGTCATCCGCTCTTCTATTTGCTCCAGTCTTCAATATAGTGGGCTTTTGGTACCAGCCAGGGTTTGGTTCCTGGAACCCACATGGATACCAAAATCTGTGGATGTTCAAGCCCCATTATAAGCAATGGGGTAATAAAATGGTGTCCCTTATATAAAATGTCAAGCAACTCAGAGGTTTGCTTTTTGGAATATTTAAAAAATATTTTCAAAACATGGTTGGTTGAATCCGTGGCTGCAAAACCCAAGGACACAGGGAGCCAACTGTTGTATGAATTAACTCCTTTGAATTAAATAACTTTTGCTGTGGTCTCTGCTGCAATTCTCGATGCCTTGAATTTATCCATTTGTGTCATTTCATTGATTTACTGTTGTTATTTTAATAATATTGTAAGGTGCCCTGGGGCCTTATGTCAAAAGATAGAGTACAAATATTTTAAATACCTAAATGCTAACTATTGTTGTAGCATGATTAACTACCCCCCACCTAGTTTAGTGCTTGCAGTATATTTGCAACTATGGATTAAAATGTGCACTCTGCCTGTCAGCATTCACTGACAAAGTGGAAGACTCTTGTACTGCTATTCAAACCAGTCTTACTGTGAACAAGTAAATAAGTAGAGCTGAAAGATAGCTAGTGCTGTGCTAAATTCCCCCATGCTAGCTCCCCGTCCTTCAAAAAAAATAAATAAAAAACCCACAGAGAAGTGCACAGCAGAATTATGGACTGATGCTTACTTGGATGGAGATCAAGAGACGTTGCTCTTTAAACCAGGAGTGGGCAACCAAAACAGATCGATGGGCCAATTTTCCGCCCTGAGACCCTCTATGATCTGCAGATGGCTGAAAAAAATGGAAGAAAACAAAACAAAACTGGAAGTAGTCGCAAACCAACCTCTGGTTTCGAAAAATGGTTGTAGTTGTGGGGTTTTTTTTTAAATAATTTACACAAACAGACTGGATTTTGTGCAAGAAACAACAGTTAAGTATACAAAACACCGCCTATTGGTGCACTAAAATACTGTTATCAGCATAAAACACAGTTTTTATGCATATGAAGTTTTTATCAAAACAAGTATCCAATTGCCAAAAATCCAGAAAGAAATTGGCATTCTGGGAGACATTTAGCCTTCTATGCCAAAGAATGCTACTGCCTCATCAAACTACAAATCCCAGGATTATGCAGGATGGAGCCATTGTCGTTAAAGTGGTGTCAACCTGGAATATTTCTCCAGCGCAGATGCAGACTAATACAAATTAAAATTGACTTCCCACTTCGGAAGCCAAAGAAAATTAATGCCAGTATCTTAAATATCTCAATAACACTAACTCATTTTTATCTCACTTGTAAATTAAAAATTTAACAAAGGAGCTTCAAGTCTTAAAATCCATAACTAAAATCTTTTGGAAAATTGTCTTTTGAAAAACGGTTTTTCTTTCATCAGCATCATCAATCTGTCCATCACATTTGAAGAGGTGTTTTAACTTATATTTTTAATGGCCAGTTATACATTGTATTTTAATCTACTGTAAGTTGTCCCCTGTCTCAAGCCATTGGGAGAGGTGGATAAGAAATAAAAATGTATTACTGTGAGCCCTTGGTATCCGCTGGGGTTTGCTTCCAAGACCCCCTGTGGATACCAAAATCCATGGAAGTTCAAGTTCCATTAAATACCATGATGTAGTATAATGGTGTCCCTTTGAATAAATGGCAAAACCAAGTTTTGCTTTCAGGAATTTATGTATGGTTGAATCTGTGGATAAGGAAACCATGGAAATGGAGGGCCGACAAAATCATCATCATCATCATCATCACCATCATTTTGCTTTATTGTTGAATTGTTGTTGTTATATTATTTTAAATGCTAAGCTTTCTCTTTCTCTCTCTCTTGTGCAACTTTAGCTTCCTTGACGATGGAAGACTGTTTCAAAAAAATCATATTTTAATGAATAAATCACACCTGAACACCTACCAAAGCTTTTGGCAGAGCCTTCCCTTCAAGACACACCTCAGCTACTCACACCTTAACCTCATTGCCTTGGAGGGGAAAGAGTAGCAAACACTCTTATCTATTTCCCCTTTATGCATGAATCAACATTCGGAGAAAAGCTCTGGCACTTTTATTATTTTTATTTCCTGTATTTATCTCCCACTTTTTCGCCCAGAACTCACTGTTCACCTTGGGAGAAAGGTGGGATGCAAATCTAATACACAAATAATATAGCCAGCGTGGTTTAGTGGTTTGAGCATTGGATTATGATGCTGGAAAGCAGGGTTTGAATCCCTGCTCAGCCATGAAACCCACCATGTGACCCTGGGCAGTCACACTCTCTCAGCTTCAGAGGATGGCAATGGCAATCCCCCTCTCAAGGAACTTGCCAAGAAAACCCAGTGATAGGTTCGACTTGGGGCTGCCATAAGTCAGAAGCGATTTGAAGGCACATTACAACAATCTATAACACAAAAAGGGCAGGTGTGCCCCCAGACAAAAGCATCCTCCAGAGTTGTTTTTGAGAAACCAGAAAACCCCATCACCCACAAAAATCACCCCCCAGTCCATTTTAGGCCCAGAAGATATATTTGTTTTCAACATGAATTCAAAAGGAAGATAGCTTCCAAATGACTTTATTTTGCAATTTAAAAATGTCCTAAAATAGCCCGGGAGAGTAAATGTGTAGCCAATTTGTCTCTAGGCTGTAGCACTTAGGGATTTTGGTATTTGCAGCTAAAAGTAGTTTCCAAAAAAAAAAAAACTGTTTTTTTCCCAAGGATAGAGGCACAGTCATGGGTTCACTCTCTGGCTGCACCCACACTGCAGAATTAATGCAGTTTAACATTGCTTTAACTGTCATGGCTCCATGCTGTGGAATCCTGGGATTTGTAGTTTGTTGCGGCACCAGAGGTCTCTGACACAGAAGGCTAAATGTCTCACGAATGTACAAATCCCAGAATTCCTTAGCACTGAGCCATGGCAGTTAAAGCAGTTAGTTCTGCAATGTGGATGGACTCACTGTTGCCTTCTTCAAGAGTTGGCTTGACCACATTTAAAGTTAAACTGGGGGGAAGGGGTGGAATCACATGTTTTCAAGCATCCAGGGTCAAGTTAGATCTTCACACACTGAATCTGACTTCCAGACGTTCAGGGAAGTTGGAGGTGAGGCTTATGTATAAACTCACATGCCCATTCCGAAAGCTAGCCATGCACATCTGTACAGACCTGCAGTCGAGTTTGTTGCCACTTATATGTTAGGGTTAAAGAGCCCTATGTGTGGCACTTCCACTGCAATTTACAGTAGTGGTTTACTAGTAAACACTAAGCTTTTGTTTATGTCTTTCCTCCTACCAGGGATGTGATGATCATATGGATTTTGGGGTTGTCCCTTTACATTTCCATATACAAGTCAAGAAATTTGCCATCTTCTCAGGCCAAGTGTGAGAATCTTCCAATGGTTGCAAATGTGAACCCAAAAAGCACCAAACCATCTAGACTACAGAAACCCAATGGGAGACCTTGGGGAAGTCACACTCTCACATCTTTAGAGGAAAGCAATGGCAAACCCCCTCTGAATAGATATTGCCAAGAAAACCCTGTGATGCATTTGCCTTAGGGTCATGTCCTCCCATGTAATCTGTTCTGTTCACTCAGGTCCTTTGGTGGACATTTACTCTGGTCAGCCAGGACTAGATTGACAACTCAGCCAGAAGGCTTTTTCTTCAGCAGCCTAGACTGTGAAATGACCTGCCGAAAGAGATTCGACAGCTGAATACACTGTCTGAATTTAAAAGAGCATTACAGACCAGCTCTTCCGACAGGCTTATTCGGATGAGTTTTAATTGTGAATTTTAAATGTAGATTGTTTTAATATGTGTGCATCTTGTTTCTTCTTTTAATTGATGCATGCTTTAACCCAGGGGTCGGCAACCTACGGCCCGGGGCCGGGTGCGGCCCCCCGAGGCCCCTGGACCGGGCCCCGCCGCCTCTGGACCGGGCCCCGCCACCGCCGCACATGCCATGGCCGCCATTTTGTTTTTCAATTTTGTTTTTCAACGTTTTTCAAAATGGCAGCTGCAACTTGTTTGTGCATGCACAGTACTCCTGCGCATGCATGAACGAGCCGTGGCTGCCATTTTGGAATACAAAATAGTGGCCGTGACTCGTTTGCGCATGTTTGCCAAAATAGTGGTTGTGGTACTTCCGGAGTACTGCGCATGTGCGCAAGTGCCATTCCCCCCCCCCAGCCTGGCGGAAGACCTGGGGACCAGCGACTGGCCCAAGGTCTGAAAATCTTGCCGACCCCTGCTTTAACCAATGCCTTTTTAACTAATGTTGTTGTTCCCTGCCTCGATGAGGGATGAGGACGGTAAGGAAGAAGAAGAAGTCAGAAACCATCAGCAAAGCTAGACCCATGGGAGACCCATGCACCCTGCTGTTTAACTGCTGGTACTGCAGCAATAAAGCAATAAAACCATCCAGAACATCAAATTTCAAATTAAAATTTCAGCTCTCAGTGGGAATGGGTGAGCTATGCCCTGTGTGAGAGACAAAACATTTTAATTATCCCACATTCACACACAGGGAGAACAGTAAACATATTTCCCACCCTTCTTCAGCAACAAGAATTATGACAATAATGACAGAGGTCCAAAACACACTGCATAAATAATCCAGTTTGAGATTGCTTTAACTGCCCTGGCTCAATACTAGGGTTTCCTGGGAATTGTAGCTTATTATGGCACCAGAGCTCTCTGACAGAGAAGGCTAAATGTCTCACGAAACTACAGTTCCCAGAATTCCGTAGCATTGAGCCAGGGCAGTTAAAGCAGTCTCAAAATGGATTATTTCTGCAGTGTGTTCTGGGCCTGAGACAGCATGGAAGTAGTGCTGCCAGCACTCCAGTTCTTGTTCGGCTCAAGAGATGCTACCTTTATAAATAAGGTTTTGAAAAAGGCTGTATGCAGCACTGGCAACAGGGCTGCTTCCCATAAACAGCAAAGCAAAAAAGTTAGTTAATGAACCATGAAAAGTATGTTCCTAACTCACAAATGGGGTTAGAATAGATGACCTTTGAATTCCCCTTCCATCCTAAATGTAAACCGTCCTAAATCAAACCCATTCTAATTCAGTAACTCTTATTTAGCTCTCTTAACACATTTTCATTTTTTAAAAAGAGCCATTATGCCGCCGTGAATAATCTGTACTCAAGAGTCCTAGATTCAAATCTTACCCTCATTCGCAGAGTTTATGGGAAGGCCACAAGTCTTGATGTTATAAACTAAATGACCGCACAAGGCTGTTGTGATCCTTTTCAATAAAAAAAAAATATGCTAACCCCACAGCCCTGGGACAAAAGATGGGATTCTAAGGCAAGAGATCAATAAATAATTAACACAAACAGGCACCGTTTACTTTATAACCTGAATAGGCACAGAGAGGGAAGAGAAAAAAACACGGCTTAACCTTCTGCAGAAAAGCAAAAGTTTGTGGAACAAAGAGGCCCCCTTTGTTTTTATTTCACATCAAAACAAATCCCCAGCAGACTTTAATCATGTTTTGAATTTAGAAGTCTCTCTGATTTGAATATTCAAAGTGTATTATACAATGCTCCACTGGTATCTGCTGGAGTTTGATCCCAGGAACTCCTGTGGATACCAAAATCCATGATGCTCACGTCCCATTAATTACAATGCCATAGAAAAATGGTGCCCCTTATATAAAATGGCAAAATCAATAATAATAATAATAATAATAATAATAATAATAATAATAATAATAATTTATTTATTTATACCCTGCCCCTCTGTCGAGTAATCGGGGTGGCTTACAAGAATCAAAATCCATACAAATCTAAAAATAAACATCTCCCACCCCTCCCCTCATTACAACAGTATTAAACTACAGATCCAATTAAAACCTTAACATAATATATCAAAAATACAATAAAATAAAAATTAAAAAACCAGCAATAGCCAACCAACAACAAACAGTGGGAGAGTCAAAACTAGGATGGTAAAACAGGCAGACTTCTGGGGCCAGTAATCCAGTCAGGAAAGGCCTGCCGGAAGAGATCAGTCTTCACAGCTTTTTTAAAACTGCTTAAACTGGTAATCTGATGGATCTCATCCAGCAGGCCATTCCATAATCTGGGGGCCATTACCGAGAATGCCCCCTGGGAGGTTGCCGACAGCCTAGATTTTGCTGGCTGGAGCAAATTCCTCCCAGAGAACCAGAGTGCGCAGGGAGGATTGTATGGGAGGAGGTGGTCCCAACGATAGCTTGGACCCAAGCCATTAAGGGCTTTAAAGGTAATGACCAACACCTTATACTGGGCTCGAAAACTAATAGGCAGCCAATGAAGAGATTTTAGTACCGGAGTTATGTGGTCTCTCCTAGATATTCCCAAGACCACTCTGCTGCCATATTTTGTACCAACTGAAGTTTCCGGACCAAGCACGAGGGTAGCCCCATGTAGCATTACAGAAATCCAGATGGGAGGTTACCAGCACGTGCACCACTTTAACTGTCGTGGCTCAATGGTATGGAATTCTGGGAACAGTAGTTTCTTCTGGCACCAGACCTCTCTGACAGGAGAAGGCTAACTGTCTCACAAAACTAAAATTCCCAGAAAGCCATAGCGTTGAGCCATAGCAGTGAAAGTGGTGTCAAACTGGATTTTTTTTTCTGCAGTGTGGATGCTGCCAATGATGGAGTCAGGTTCAAGTTCGAATCTTTGCTCAGCTGCAAAGCTTCTCCAGAGATCTGAGCCATGTTGGTCTGTCTTGGCTATGCCCACCTTGCAGGGTTGTTGTGAAGATGAAGATGATCCTGCTTCTCCCGCCCCCATGCACAATTATTTCTGCAGTGTGGATGAAATCATCATCATCATCATCACCATACTTGATTCTCTCTTTCCTTACTAATATTTCGAGGACTTTTCACTGACGGAAATATGCTTTGGTAAAAAAATTAAGCACTCTCCACTGCCTAAATCAGGGGTAGGCAACCTTTTAGAGCGGGAGGCCAGTCCCCCGAAGTCGTCCCTTCTGCCGGGCTGAGGGGGGGGAATGGCGGCACGCGCACTCACACGTACACGCACACACCCCCGCCACGCACGACCCCTCCAGCACGCTGCCACCACTACTGCCACCGCCACTACACGCACTGCCGCAGCTGCCGCCGTGCATGTCGTGGCCGCCATTTTGATTTCCGAAATGGCAGTCGCAACGCATTTGCACATGCGCAGGAGTACTGCGCATGTGCAAACGAGTCACGGGTGCCATTTTGGAGAACAAAATGG